CGTCCCCCACGTCCCCGCGGCAATGCTGCCGCCCAATGTCATAGACACTGACTTCATCGACGAGGAGGTCCTCATGTCCTTAGTCATCGAAATGGGGCTGGATCGCATCAAGGAGCTTCCCGAGCTGTGGTTGGGACAGAACGAGTTTGACTTCATGACAGACTTCGTTTGCAAACAGCAGCCCAGCAGGGTGAGCTGCTGATTCATTTAAAACAAACAAAGGACTTTCTATCGGTGCGAATGAAAACATTCCCCTAGACACGCTGTCTCACTTTTCAGGGCTTGAAAAGGTGAGAATCTGGAAAGCAGAGTCAACTATGCGCTTGTATAAATTCTTTTTTTTTTTCCCCCTTAAATCGCTGCCACGTTTTTTGTAGCCTTGACGTTCACGTCCCCTCCCGTAGTAATGATTTCTAGCGAACTCTGCCTTTTTATGTTGGTCGCTCCCCTCCCCTCCTCGCTCTCTTCATTTCCTCGCAGTAACGTGCCCATAATTCCCACAGTGCTGAACTGTTAGATATTAATCTTGGCAAATTGCTTAATCTTGTGGATTTTGTAAACGATGATTTCCAATGACCTGAACTGCGTTCAAATTCTGAGTGAACGGGGAAAGAAATTTGCATTAGTTGGTTGCATGAACTTTGAAGGGCAGATACTACTGCACAAATGCTGCCATCTTGCTTAATTTTTAACTATGCATTGCTGTGCAGACTAATAAATTTTTTTTTTTATTTTTTTTTTTGGATACGCTAAACTGGAAGCTTAACAGATGTGGGCCAAACCTTTCCAGATCAGGAAAAGTAATGCTGTTACTTAAAAAGTCTGCTACCCATTCCCCCTCCCCCATATGTACAGACAATAATATGGTGTGGATGGAATGTTGACTAGTGGCAAACATTTCACAGATTTTTTTTTTTTTAATTATTGTTTCTGTCTTCAGCATTTTGACACTGTGCTAATATAGTTTATTCAGTACATGAAAAGATACTACTGTGTTGAAAGCTTTTCAGGAAATTTTGACAGTATTTTTGTACAAAACATTTTTTTGAGAAAATATTGTTAATTTATTCTATTTTAATTTGCCAATGTCAATAAAAAGTTAAGAAATGCTTTAGTTTTTCTAGGAGTCATTTACCAGTATTTTTCTTCAAAACTCTTCCCCACTGTCCCTGGTAAGTAGAACATCTATCTATACGACCGTGTTGGTGTGCAAAAAGACATTCCGAAATAGAAAGTACACTACACCTATATATATGTCATGGTGAACTCGGTAGGTGAGCGGGATTTGAACATACTTGCAGCATAAAGCCTCATACGTAACGTTGTAATATGCCTGTCAGTGTGGTTTTATGAAAAATAAAGTTACCGAGGCGCAACATTGTTGTGACTTGCCAACATACTTGCTTTAAATGTAGTTGTCCAGAGTTATGATGCATAAAGTATTTATTATATTTATCTATTAAACTTGTAATTTTATAAATCTGCTTTCATTTATATAGTAGACTTTGTTCTTTTGTATATTTATTATCTCACCTGGAAGAGCTATGTAAAAAGGCCAAGCGCTTGCCACGCAGGTATTTGTGACTTGGGAAGGGAGGGGGGTGGGCGTCGTCCCGTCCCTCTCGCCTCACAGGGTTAACACGGGAGAGCGCCGCAGCAATCCAGATCCGCATCGCACCGGAACCGACTGCGTTTCCTTTCCAGTGACTTAGGAGAAGGGGCCTATATCCCTAAAATATGCCACACTGGGACATCTCTAACCCCCTTCTCCCGGCAACTGCTGCCAACCGAAGCCACAGAGACAAATCCGTACAGGTCTACTGTAAATATTTGGGAGAAAAATGCCCACTATTAGAAGGCAATTGACATCTTGCTCCTTTAGTGCCAACTGTTGCAGCCTTCTGCCCCCACTCGGCCTTTGGCAAAGCGCCCGCACAAGTTACTACTTCAGTGAGGACTGCCGGATGGGGACCCTGATAATACATGTTAATCCCGTTTAGCCACGCTTCCCGAGTTCGATACAGGAGCGATACCACCGTGCTTTTTTTTTTTTCCTTGCTTTTTCAGCCTCGTCTTCTGAATTTATTAGGAAGAAAAACAACATGGTGGATGTAGTTAAATTTTAAACCTGGGCACGTAAACAGGGGAGGGTATCGCCACACAATGGGAGTGTAAATAGCAGTGTTTTGAATCAAGCTGGGAAATTAAACTGATTACTATTGCTAAAATTGTCCCAGCTGGTGAGAAAAGTGATACTTGGCCTTCTTTGCCTTACAGACGTGAAGCAGCTAATATGTTTTATGAATGTAAAAAAAATAACGCTTGTATTAAAGTATTAGCAAAACTAGAAAGGAGGAAGCGTACGCTTCTGGGAAAACCTGACGACAACACGCTCTCTGCAGGCAGTAGCAGCCCGTTCTTAGACAACACTCGGCACCCAAGAATTTAGAAAAACAACCGTCTGCTTTCAGCCAGTGATCGCTAATGTTTTGTGACAGCAAATTTAACATGAAATGGCAGCGAATCATAACTTATCAACTCACCAATGACGTAAAAGAGTGTGTAGAAGAACACAGCTGTAGTTTTAAGAGCCGTTGCCCAACTTGCCACTATATAAATCCTTTTTCCATTTTAAGGCTGTTTGATCTGCACACGTTGCATTGCCCTCTTCTGCTGGAGTTTGGGAGGGTGATTTTTCTGATTCTAATCAACTTCTTATAAAACAGACTATCAAATTATGTGCATACCAAATTGCATAGATGTTTAAAGCCACCACGATCCCCTAAAACAAAAGGGAATACTCTCGCTTTAATGATAAGCACTTTTGCTTCATAAAGTTGGTTAAACAACAGATTCTTCACAGTTGAGACATCACCACTTAAGTCTGTCAACATTAAATCCTTCCATATAAGCTTTTCCAAGAATAGGCAGTTTCACGGGCACGCTGGTAGAGTCTATTTGCGTACGACTCCTTGTAAAACTCCTGAGAGCTGCTGCCTCCAAACAACAGCAGCTACTGAAAGCACTGGCTTTCGGCAAGGCATCGTCGAGGAGTTCTACAATTTCTTAAAAGTGGACCCCGGGGAAATTTGCAAAACAATCATATTGCCTACCTTGTCCCTTAATTTCTAATGAAGAGTCAGACCCCAGTGCATAGCACAACTACGTATTTTCTTATTCATAATATCGTCCACCAGGCAATACTGGGGGCCTGACCCTCATCTTCGGACGTGAACCCCTTGGCAATGCCCCCAGCTGGCTCCCACGGCTGAAGCAGTAACAGGCCTTCAAGTGGATCCTCTCTAGCTTCCACACTGTTTAGAAATATGATAAAGTCATTTATCATTTGAACCCAGCGATTAGTGAAAAATGCGCAGTGACCCAGTTTTCCGGCTACTGCCAGATCCTCGCGAAGGACGTTGCCGTCTTGCGTCCCATTATAAGTTGCTTTCAGTACAGGAAACTTGACCTCTGTACTTTGGCTGGTTTTCAAGAACGTCCAACATGGTACATGAGATCTGCTCCTCTTTAAGCCACCGCCATAAATAGACGCGCTGCTGTATTTGGAAGGGAGATCAGCTCCAAGCCGCCCCGCCACGCAAGACACGCTCGGCGGAAAACTAGGTGCCCATTAACGCGATCCTCTGCCTTTTTCCCCGGGAATACGGAATTCACGGGTGGGCGCAGGGGGGGGGCAGCTGCCCCCTCACCGACGGGGCTCCGCCGCCGGACGCCGAGGCCGGGAGCGCTGCGGACGG